ACCCCCCCCCCACACACACAAATAATACACGCGTGCGCGCGCACTTATAGACACACACAAACACACGTAGTCTCGCTAACGCATGTAATGAGAGGGAGTAAGGGAGGGAGGAATGGAAGGAGAGAGGGAGAGATAGATAGATAGATAGAGAGAGAGAGAGAGAGAGAGAGAGAGAGAGAAAGAGAGGGGGAGAGAAAGAGATAGATAGATAGAGAGAGAGAGAAGATACTGGTTGGGGGAAAATACTTTTTTTAGGGAGGGGGGTAGAAGAGGGGAAGGAGGAAGAGGAAGGGAGGGTTAGGGGTAGATAAACGAAATGTATACGCAACGTAAGTATTCTACTCCAGTGACTATAAAAGCATTTTCAAGTACAAATGGCTCAAACGAAAAAAGAAGAAGCCGGTAAGACTCTTGATTAAGTGCACAGCGGAAAATACTTTTTCGCATGACCTTTGTGAAAATCGTATTACTACCGTACAAAAAGATAGGCATTATGTAAGGGTCACAACATGTATATGAGAAGAATGTTTCATCATCAAAAATGTTTTACTATTTTTGCCTAATCAATAAAGCATTCGAATCCAAATAGATTTTGTTTTATAATTCCAGATGGATAGATCTAATAGATGTAGTTCTTATGAAAAGAAAATTGAGTACAAACTATGGGTAGTCTGGTGGCTTAACACCCCCGCTGTTTTGATATTTCATCGACCTTGATTTGTCATTGCAAACTAGTACGTTTCAAAAATGAAAGTTACTTCACTATTAATACTCCCTGTAATTTACGAATACACAGCATCAAGCCAAGATACGACTTAAATAAATAGTAAAATTAGATCAAATACATGGCATCTCTTGCTCTATCTTGTAATCTACAAAATAATGTTAATAAAACATGTGTTTGAATTCTTTGTGAAATGGTTATTGTTTTAACGTTACAGATGAATTTGTAAAAAAAACTGATAGCCTTCTGAAGTACAGCACCATTTTGCGTTTAGATTAGTACAAATAAATAGAGAATTAAAGACGCAACAATTGCCACTAAGCATCTTTAAAAATGTACGAGATTTTTACACAACAAAGAAAAAAATTTAGAACATCAAGGACGCGGACTGCCACCATACTTGTCAAAACCATATTTTTTAAAATAGAAAAAATGATTTTTTTTACAGTAGAATAAAGTTTTGACTCTACATACCCCCGTCCCCCCAGTAAAAAAGATTAAAATGAATTAATAACAAGCAAACAACCCTCCCCCTCATCACAACTTTGAATTTTCTATAGTTTTACCCAAGTATGCCCCTAATTCTGAAGTCTTTACATGAACATGTCAAGAAGTACTCAATGTGAAGAAATGGGAGCACAAGGAATAGATTAGCCAACACTCATTGGATTTAATTAGGATATGACGACAGCTGAAGGCAGAAGCGAATGCAAGTAGAACAAGAGGATCAAGAGCGGATGCATTGGAGCAGTACAGGACAACAGCTAAAGATGTCAAGAAATCAATAAGAAAAGACAAGGAGGAATTCATGAACGGGCTAGTTGAGAAGGCAGAGGAAGCAGCTGTAGAAAGGCACATGCGAATCCTTTACCAGACCACAAGGACACTTGCGGGAAAATATGGGAAACCTGAAGTACCTGTAAAGGACCAAGAGGGGAAAAGCATTTTTGGAAAGGAAGCTCAGTCTAAATGATGGGTAGAGCATTTCAACAGTCTCCTGAACAGACCACCACCGAGTAACCCACCAAATATACTGCCAGCAAGAAATGAGTTACCTATCTGCTGTTATGCTCCTTCAAAACAAGAGATTCTGGATGCCATTAAGAAGCTGAACAAAGGTAAAGCGGCCGGTCCTGACCAGATTCCACCTGAAGCCCTAAAAGCAGGTGCCAATGAGACGGCAGACATCCTCTTCCCACTGTTTACCAGGATCTGGAATGAGAGCAAGTTCCCAAAGGATTGGAAAGGACAGCTCGTGAAGCTTCCAAAAAAGGGGGATCTCAGCAACTGCAGCAACTACAGAGGGATTACTCTTCTCTCAATACCAGGTAAGGTCTTCAACAGAATCATTCTGGAGAGAATCAAGACAGGTACGGATCCAAGACTAAGGGATGAACAGGCCGATTTCCGGAAAAATTGCTCAACCACCGACCAGATTGCCACGCTGAGGATTATTGTGGAACAGTCCCTGGAGTGGAACTCCCAGCTGATTGTCAACTTCCTTGACCATGAGAGGGCCTTTGACAGTATAGACTGAGCGACACTATGGAAGATAGTGAGACATCATGGAATCCCACATTAGTTGGTAAACCTCATCAAGAGCATGTACGAAGGGACATGTTGCAGGGTTGTACATGATAGCAAGCTCACTGACAGCTTTGACATCAGGACTGGTGTGAGACAGAGATGCTTACTTTCACCGTTCCTCTTCATATTGGCAGACGACTGGCTGATGAAGGAAACCACCAGAGGACACAGAAATTGCATACAGAGGACACCATGAACACAGTTGGACGATCTGGATTTTGTAGACGACTTGGCGCTTCTGTCGCACACCAAGAAACAGATGCAAGCAAAGACTTCAGTATTAAACAGCATATCGGGGTCTGTTGGATTGAGGATTCACCCCGGAAAGGTCCTAAGGACAGATGCACAACGAAAGGAGCAGGTCACAATAGAAGGAAAGGCACTAGAAAACGTTGATTCCTTCTTCTATCTTGGGAGTATAATTGACAGAGAGGGAGGAACAGGTGCTGAAATAAAGCATTGGAAAAGCACATGCTGCTTTCATATCTTTGGATAGGATTTTGAAGACCAGAGATATCTCACTTGGAACAAAGCTGAGGATTTTCAATTCAAACGTGAAGTCGGTCCTGTTGTATGGATGTGAGACATGGAATGCATCACAGACTTGTATAAAGAGGATCCAGGTTTTCCTGAACAGGCGTCTAAGAAAGCTACTGAGAATCAGATGGACAGACAGGGTCATCAATGTGGAAGTTTTATGGAAAACAAGACAGATCCCAGTCAGAGATGAGATAGGAAGAAGGCGGTGGCGATGGATTGGACATACTCTCAGGAAGTCAGGCAGCTGCATGACAAAGAAAGTTTTGGATTGGAACCCACAGGGCAAGAGATCAAGGGGAAGACCTCGTGGAACCTGGAGAAGAATCACAGAAATCGTACAGAAAAGTGGGAAGACATGGAATAACATCAAGAGGCTAGCCCAGGATAGAGAAAGGTGGAAGGTGTTTGTCCGTGGCTTATACCCTGGTGCAGGGTGAGAAAGTCAATGATGATGATGATGATGTCCCTAATCCAACTTTAGCCTCACCTTTCTCTTCCCTTAAACGGCTTTTGAGAGAGCAGATATTATGATGATTTGGGCAGTGTTAAACTCCGCTTAAAAGGTAAAAAACAAAATAAATCAAGAAGCAAACAAACAACAAAACAAAAACAAATCAAACAAAACAAAACCAACAACCAAATACCCCCCCCCCCCACACACACACAGACCCAGAAAAAGACGTTTGTTTCTCTCCTCGACCCCATCAGGTAACAGTTGCCGGAAAAAGTAAAACTAAATACAGTAAAGTAAGTCATGAGGCGATAGATTATGACGAACATACGAAATCGACAAGCAAATTTCATTGGACACACAATGCGGAAAGAAGCATTGAAGAATATTGTGACAACAGGCAAGTTTGATGGAGAGAGAGGGTGAGGTAGACAAAGAGAAAGGTACTGGACAAGTTGACAACATGGCTGGGAACAGCAAGAACAACAGAATTATCGTTGCGACGCAAGACAGAGTGAAGTGGAGGTCCATGATCGCCCTCGCCAGTCGGCAAGGTACCGGATAATGATGATGATGAAGTCATGAAAATGAGATCACAGATTTCATTTCTCTACAATCTACAACCCTTTTGCTTCGAACAATCTGTGATTATTATGAACTTTTCGATATACGTTCACAATATGTAAGCTCGATTCCCGAGCCACAGAAATATTCTATCGAGTATATTGTTCATTTATCTGCTTAGAAAAATTGCACAAAACCAAAGTTTGTCTTAACAAACATGTTAGGACTAATCACTCCCACCCCCACAAAATCAATAAATAAAACAAACCCAAAACAAACAAACAAACAACAACAAAAATCCAGGAACCCCCCCCCCCAAATCAAATCAAACTACAACAAAAACAGTATAAAAAGTACACAAAACAATATGAAAACTCAAACAAAATAGGTAATTATTGTTGATGAGGCATTTCATCACATTAACAACTGCAACGAGAACAATAGATAAAAGTAGCAGCACCAGCACCACCACCAATAACAATAAAAAACAACACAACCATCACCACCTACAACAACATGGACAACAGCGGTGCTTTGTTAGAGGTAAAGGGGAACAAGCTGCTATTCGTTGCTACAGCTGCCAGAGTTGCTTGCCCCTTTGAGATCAACCTTTGGACAAGACAGAGCGTCCTATATCCACTTGTCTCTGACACACACACACAGTCTTCAAGGACTTGTGCCCCGAACAATGGCATTCCATTCTGAGAACAGTTTCATTCTACTTTGAACAATGAGCAGGCGCGAAAATAAAAACGATCTTTTCAAGGTATGTTTCTCAACCTTCACTGCCTCGTGTTCCCAGTGGAACTTGAATATCGTTCAAACGCACTCTTACATGGTTATAACCATACAAAGCTAAAAAAACGACGAGTGAGAATCCATTAATTTTTCAATGATAACTCGAAGTAATTTCAATCTACAGTGGCACACAGCTGTAATCGATATAGCAATCTGTGAAACGCCCCGCAAAGTAACTATTTTCGGGAATATCTTTTGGGCACTGATGTTTTACTGAACCCAAGTCTTTTCTGGGGGAATAATGGAGTCCTACAAGCCTTGCAAATAGAAAATCTCACACGGATCATGATTGCTTTAGCTTTGGTAATTTATATGTTTTAAGGCAGTTGCAACACACGTTAGTCATTTGTGGTAACCTAGCAGAGATAAGAACGAAATTTTATGATTGATAGGAAAGATGGAGCAAACCACACGACAGCACTCGCTATCCACCTAGGATGATCTAGAACTTAGAGACCAGTTTCTTTCTTTTTAAAAATTGTCTTGGTTGATTCGTGGGCAGTGTGTTATCGTTGAGTGTGGTTGGCCCGTTTGCGAACAATAGGAGTTTTGGGTCCTTTTTTGTTGGAGAGTCAGTGTTGAACATATTCATGTTCTTGCTTTTGCCTGGGGATTTGAAGAATCCCACTCTTTGTACTGAAAAACAAAAAAAAAAACAAAAAAACTAAAAAAAACCCATTAAAAACTCCGAATAACTGATGCGAAAACCCCCCAGTATTTGTGAATTTCTCTCATCTTAAAATTTTTGAGGGTTCAGATCGTTTAGGCTTTCAGGCACTAAGTTATGTTTAGCACAGAGACGAAAGATGTTTGAAAGGAAAGAAGGAGCAAACCATACCAGTGCACCCGCCAACCACCCACGTTATTCCCTTGCTTTCACTGATCGAGGTATAGGGTATCTACCGAGGGAAGATGATTTTGAGCCCCAAACTCTCACGTAAAACTCTGTGCACTGACGGTAAAGGAAGAAACACTCTTTGCGTTTTCTCATAAAGTCTCACGCGACTGTCCGCGTCAACATTAACTCTAATGGCAGAAACCGTTGTGGTGCTGTTTTTGTCCACGGAGTGCTTTTGCTCCTGGTTTCGAAATTTCCTGATTTCCCACTTTAAAAATGGGGTATCCATAAAAAAAATCCTGTTGCTTCTGAGATCGACGGGCTTAATGCATCTGACAGCTGAATTTCGTAGATTTTGGTTTTTATTACCAGTTGTTGTACACACTTTGACCTACGCATGGCTTGATTTTTTTTTGCCATATTCATTTGGCTAGTGTCATTTACGTAGTCACTTGACTAAACTTTGAGCCTAATTGTCTTTCTGACAGACCGTACTGAATAATACAAATCTTGAAACATAGCATAAGCAGGCAACACATTTTTTTAAAGAAAACAAAGTACTAGAAAGTGCTTGCAATTTAGTGTTCAGGGAATCCTGCAGTTTCATTTTGTCTGAAAAGCTCCTCGCAATTACAATGCCCAGTTTTGAAACATGGAATTTGGACTAACGTAGATCTCCAAACTAAGACAAACTGAACAGTTCGTTTAATATTTATTGGGGGGTTCTACTGAAAATGGTAGTCTTTTGAATACATCTTTTATTTTGTTAATCAGTTTAAATTTTTCCTTTCACTTTTGATACTTGTTATAGAATCGAGGTGCTTCTCTTTAATCAAAGTCAGAATCCAAGTTGGACAGGTGTGCATCTGCCAGGAACACTTCTCTATACCATTCAATTCTCAATTCACACAAGACATGGATGTGTGCAGCCTATTACGTGGTTCGAACTTGTCGTATACTTTACGTCGGTTTTTAGTAAAGAAACATATCGACATAATATTGGCCTTGATGCTTTTTGTGAAGTGAAAAAAACAAAAGAGATTATAAATAGAAATTACAAAGGAAAAGAAAAGAATATTCAAACATACCAGTAACCCCCCAAACTACTCTCTCATTTTCTTTTTAAAGGACGTTTTTATAGTATCAATTATTTATCATACCATTGGAGACATTTGCAGAAAGTGTGAGGCCATTTCTGAACCCCCACTCTTACACACAAAAACAAACACACACACACACACACACACACACACACAGACACGCACACACACACACACACACACACAAACAAACCAAAAAAACCCACACTCACAATCATCCACAAACTACGCTTGTCTTTTTCAGGGTTCAGCAGTTTTCTTGCGAAATCAGCAAAGGGTTTCCTTAACCCTTAAACTTTCCATTCAGTTCTCTTCTTAGCGCCCTATATATCCCGAGGTTTCTTTGACATTAGAGCCAGCATTTTTCTGGCTTACATGCAGGGTATTTATTTCTTTTATCAGTTGGTCGATTGCATGAGGAAAACTATTTATTTTTAAAGGCAAAGGTTGTGTCTAATTTGATAAAGACGGCTTCGTTATCTGATAAATAATGCATCCGTCCCCAGAGAAAATCACTGGATGTCAACAGAGAAGTCCTAACAGGGAATCAGGCTTACTCTGCTCACCTCTCTAGCATCAACAACACAAAGTCTGCTTCGACCATCAAGGCACACTGGCAATGTCGGGTCACCAGTGTGTGACAAACATAAAAAAGAAGTAGAGAAAATGACGATAGTAAGGATTAGGATAGAAAAAGCAGCCGTTGTAGTTCAGGCACAGTTATGAGCATGATATTGTTTTATCAGCTCATTTACAATTCTAATGTGCATTAGAAAGAGAAATGCCCCCACCCCTTTTTGGAAATGGCCTAAATACCCTTCAGTCAGTGGCACTGACCCGGGAGGTAGACAATATCTGTGAGGCGTGTTATAAAAATCCTAATGGAGATGTGTGCCAAAAATAGTGAATTTGAGAGAGATGCAACTTTTTAAAAGTTAAATATTATACCTTTTATTATCTCATATAATATATTTTAGAGACCAAACCTATGAAATTGAGTTATATAATATACAAACATCTATGTCCCTGAGGCTAAAATCCGAGAATCAACTCATTTTGTCAAGGACTCACAATCCATCCTTTATCTCATATCTCCTCAGGACTTTCTTTTGAACAGTTTTTATTATCGTTGGTGCAAGCATCAGAAAACGGCAACCCCGTGATGAGAAGACTCCGGTCATCGATTCTACGCATCATTGGTCGGTATCAGGACTGCGTGATGGCTTGTGAGCACCAGTTCAGCAAACGGAGTGGGCGAGCCCAGGCAAGAGGATGGACGCTGGACGCATTGTGTGTGTAGAGAATATGTTTGTTTGTCGTCTATGTCTTAGTTCGTCTGTTTGTTTATGTATGTATGTGTGTGTGTGTGTGTGTGTGTGTGTGTGTGTGTGTGTGTGTGTGTGTGTGCGCGCGCGCGAGTTTATGTGAGTGTGAGAGAGAGTGAGAGTTATTTGTGAATTTGTGTGTGTGTCAGTGTGTGTGTCAATGTGCGTGTATGTGTGTGTGAGTGTATGTGTATGTATGTATGTGTGTATGTCTGTATGTGCGTGTGTGCGTGTGTGCGTGT